ATCTCAGATTCAAACATACTAGGAAAATTATTATTTCTGAAGTTCTTAGAGAAATGTGGTACATAATATAGCCAGTAAGTACTTATAATATCTAAACAAGATCAAAATCAAACTTTATGGTAAAATACCAGTTAAATGGTATATGATAATGAAAGCACAAATTGTGCTGTCAGAGTTTATCCAGACTTTTTATGTTAGGAAGAATGGATTAAAGATCTGTAAATGGAAAGCAAAACTTAAAGCCCATATAAAAGCAAAGACTATGGCACTGTGACATTGGATTAGTCATAAGGCAAAAGAAAAGGCTGATACATTTGTATACACTAAAATTCAAACTTAAGTTTGCATGCTATGTAACTGACAAAGGCTCCATTTAAATCAAAAAAATGATCAAAGGATATGAATGGGCAATTCATAGATGAGGATCCCTAAGTAGTCATTCACATGAAAAGATGCTTAATCTAACAACTGATAAAATAACTTTACATTAAAACAACACTGAGATTCCATTTCACTGCCATCAGATGGGCAAAAATCGAAATAGAATAAATGAACTCTGACACTTAAACATGTTGCCAAGGCTGGAGTTACTGGTAGCAGTGAAATTAATTTATTACTTTGGAGAAGGTTTGGCAACATCATTTTTTTTTTTAAGATGATTATACCCAATCTTTGGGTATTCTTAAAGAGTTCTTGACATGTATACTCAAGGAAATGGGCACAGAAGGTTTATTGCAGTAAAATATTTTTAGTTGTAAAAACCTGGAACCAATGTCCATTAGAAGAATGAATAAATAAATTGTGGTTTGTGGAATTTGGCTGTTAAAATGAATTAATATAAGGTATGTGTATTAACTTTACATCTCAAAAAAAAAGACTTAAAAATGGTCAACTGATATGTATTGTGTGAGATTTAGTAGTGTGAGAACATGAAAACAAAATTTGATGTATATACATAATTAAAAACCTGTATGAGATTGATAAACCCCCAAATCTGGCTTGTTTACCTCTGGAGAGGTAAGAGGAAAATGGCTTGAGTATCTGTAACTTGTTACCTCATTAAAAAACATCAAACTTGGAAAAAAAAAACATCAAACTTGAGAAAAGTTTGGGTATATTAGATTGAGTGATGGTCAGTCTCCACACATTTTTTATATGCTTAATATTTAATAATAAAAACCTATTTTTAGCATTTTATTTATTCATTTAACACCAAAAACATTTTGTATTGGGGTACAGCCGATTAACAATGTTGTGGTAGTTTCAGGTGAACAGCAAAGGGTCTCAGCCATACATATACATGTATCCATTCTCCCCCAAACTCCCTCCCATACAGACTGGCATATAACATCGAACAGAGTTCCATGTGCTATACAATAGGTCTTTGTTGGTTATCCATTTAAAACATAGCACTGTGTACATGACCTTCCTAAAGTCCTTAACTATCCCTTCCTCCCAGGAACCATAAGTTCGAAAAACAAATATTTTAAAATGCTCTTTTTGGTGGTTAGGTCTCTGTATCCCAGCCTTGATTGATTTCAGTGGTTTCATCCTCAGGAGCACCTTAGAAATGAGCCACGGAAGGGTTTTTCTATGCCATGAGAGAACAGGACATATGCCACCAAGAAACAAGTTAAGTCAATTCCTGGTATTCCAGACTACTTCTATCTGGCAAAACATGTCTGTCCCCCATCCCGCCACCAAATGTGTGTGTGTGTGTGTGTGTATGTAGGTATATCTGTATATACATATATATATGCACACACAATTCATATAGGCTTTTAGCCAAATGGGTTGGGAATTGGAAACTGACTTTAAAAATGGTGTGCGTTACCACCAAGCTTTGGGAAATCAATAAAATTGAAGCAGGAAGGGATCATATTGTAGCACAAAGGTAACTTGGCTAGAATCACAAAGTTAGATACTGGTCAAATGTGAATGCTTTGTGTTTTACAACTTGACATGAGAATATACCTTTTTATTGTACTTTAATATTTCTACATTTGGCATAGTTAAAACCAGAAAATGCACAAAAGGCTCGATAACCAAAACATGTTAGGGATTACATGGTTTACACATGAACCCCTGATTTTCTTCAAACCCATTTTGTACCACTAGATTGAATTTCTATTTTGAACTCTCAGGAGGCATTTTAGGAAAAGTGTACAAAGGCCAAGATGACCTTGATTACTGTGAACCAGTTACAGATAGACAAAAAACTAGAGAAAGTTGTTTAATCGGTAGGTTTTTGTCTGAAGGAGAAAGGTGTAGTATATAGATTCACAACCCACAAGGGGGTTTCCAGGGCTTGGTGTCCCGTTGTGTTGCTGATTTATTGGATTGTTTCTGTTACTAATTCATACTAATGTCACATCTTCAGGAAAGGTAGCTACAAAAGTCAGCATTAGGCTTATATTCTGAGGCCCCTGGAGCTCTCAGCTTAATTTCTAATATGAATTCTAATAGACTCATAGATTGAGCAGAAAGTCATACAGTAAGTACAGAAGAGAAAATGTAATAGGTAAAAGTATTAGGATAAAATAGGTGCAAACATTTAAGCAATTATTAATGCAAGCAGGTCCACAAATGTACACTGGCAGATGGTCTCAGAAAAGCTGTGACACCTAACCCTATGGCTTAAGAGCTGTAATGAACGTTCATGTGCAGATTCTAAATCAAGTTCTTTACATAAAGGATGTGAAAAACTGCAAAGATGTCTGTCTCAAGATGGATTAAAAAACGGCAGAAAATACAACAGGGGTGTTAGGTGTCAAATTATAGATATCACACAGTTTGGGGGACTTTCCTGAAATACAAAGCCTTGTTGCCCAGCCGGTACTCCCTAAAATTGCCCAGGACAAACACCTGCGTGTACTCACGCCTACTGTTAGCTTCTCAACTGTCCCCACTCTGCTCTGACCTCAAATGTTAGGCTGAGGACAGCTAGGAGAGAGGGGCTTGGTGGGCTACAGTCCATTAAAGAGACACGACTAGCGACTGAACAACAGCTCGTGCCAGTCGAGGGCTGAAAACGGCACACAATGACAGTATTTGCGAGGCTCCCAAATGGGACACCTAGACCAGGCTCAGTCAGATTCGCTCAAAGATACGCGCGCCTGGCGGTGCACCGCCCACAGTCTAGGTGCCAGGGCCCTCGGGTCCCAGGATCCTGAGCCGCGTGGACTCGGCGCCCACCACCCGGCAGGCTCTGGGGCGATTCCGCGCATGCGCCCTCTGACGTAGTGGCGACGCCAGCGACGAATCCTCGCTTGTCGTCGTCGTCGTGGAGTTAAAGCAGCAGCGGTGTTTTCCCGCGCTTTTCTTGGGCGTCTCAGGTTAGATTTTTTTAAAAATTTGTATTAATTTTGTTAGTATTTTCTTTTGAGAGGGCTGCGAGTTTGACGTTTCCGTGAGTCTAATCTTCAAAACTTGGTTCTCGCTAAGTTGGACGGCTCCTTAAGTTGGACGGTTTATGAAATTGACTCTTTCCCTGACTTTGTGGAAAATTTTGAACTAGCTGCACCTCTCGCTCTGCCTGGAGAAGGGAATGGCCACCCACTCCAGTATTCTTGCCTGGGAAATCCTATGGACAGAGGAGCTTGGCGGTTGCGAAGAGTCGGACAAGACTGAGCAACTAACACTGGCTCTGCCTGGTTGAGGGACTCAGGTTCCAAACTGTCCCCAGCTCTTCAGCTTCCCGTCTGCGCTGTACCCTGCTGGAGGGACAAAGGCCTTGTAACTGCGGCCGCCGGGTACCTGTGGAGACTCCTTCAGCAGGGACATTTGGGGTAAAAAATGTCGGAGCGTCCTTGTCCCACCCCTGTGACCCAGGCAACTGTCTTGACAGAATTTACCCGTTCCTAAATTTGACCATCTTCCCTTGGTGTGTAACTGGTGTGTAACTATTATTTTATACAACGTGTTAGCCGCTTAGTCGTGTCTGACTCTGCAACCCTTTGGACAGTAGCCCACCAGGCTCCTCTGTGTCCATGGAATTCCCCAGGCAAGAATACTGGAGTGGGTAGCCATTCTCTTCTCCAAGGGGATCTTCCCGACATAGGGATCAAACGCCGGTCTCCTGCATTGCAGGCAGATTCTTTACTGTCTGAGGCATAAGAGAAGACCTATTTTATACAATAATGACTAATTTCGATATGTTCAGGATATTGCTGCCTAGTTTGGATTAAACTCCAGTGACAGTAGACACTATATTGAAAAATAATGGAATAGAAGCATAGAATTGAACAGTATTTACATTAATAGGTGAGTTGTTTAATTGGTGATAAAGTTTTATTTTTTTATTTTTTTTTTAAAGTTTGCTTTTATATAGATTTTCAGGCTTCATAATGTCAACTACTTGAATGAATTAGGTTAGTTTCTATTTAATAGTATACGTTAATAGTCTTTTTTAGTCAAGGCAACACAGGTAAAGAATCTGAGGTATCAGCATATATGAAAACCTAAAAATGTAACTTAAAATACTTTGCATTAAAGAATGGCTAAAATTAGTGCCTGGACTTTTTATATCTGCCAAATGTGAGAAGTGATACTAAAATATTCTAGCAAACTATGAATGGGTAATACAGTTGGATTTTTGTTTAGGCATTGAGAAATGGCAAAAAGCACTAGTTTAATTTTTATCTCTACTTTGTAAATGTTCCTAAACCTTTTTAAAAAAATTTTTATGAACATATTATTTTTAACTTATAAATGAGATGTAGAACTACCTGTGTCTTTAACCATTTCCTTAAAAAGTTTTTTCTTGGCCTTAGCAGTGGTTTGCACAAAGAAGGAGCACACAATATTGTTGGGTGACTGAAATCAATATTATATATTGATTGTAATACAAAAGCATAATAAAAGGTATATTATTTTGTCTTAGTCAAATAAAAACGTGTTTCATTTATTTTTATTTATTTATTTAATTTTACTGCAAATTGACTTTTTCATTTATCCCTTTTTAGGATTCTTTTCAGCATCTGAAGACTTTATTATCTATTATGTCTTTGTGTGAAGACATGCTGCTTTGTAATTATCGCAAGTGTCGTGTCAAACTCTCTGGTTATGCATGGGTCACTGCCTGCTCTCATATATTCTGTGATCAGCATGGTAGTGGTGAGTTTAGTCGTTCACCAGCTATCTGCCCTGCCTGCAATAGTACTCTTTCTGGAAAGCTAGATATTGTCCGTACAGAACTCAATCCATCAGAGGAATATAAAGCCATGGTATTGGCGGGACTTCGACCAGAGATTGTATTGGACATCAGCTCCCGAGCACTGGCCTTCTGGACATACCAGGTTAGTGCTTAGGCTAGTTGCCCTGGAGAGTATGCTTTGAGGTGTATGTGAATACTTCTAAAGTTTTTCCTTCACTGTGTATTTGTTTTTTAAAAATGTATGGAAAAATACTCTTTTTAATTTTCTTTTTTGCAAAAGTAATGTGTTTAGTGTTGAAAAATCCAAAAGGAAGAAAATAAAAATAATCCATAATTCCATCACTCAGAGATAACCAGTCTTGATACTTATGTTTGTATATTATTAGATTTTCCTGTGTATAAATATATATTTATATATATTTTGTCTATATAAAAATAGGGTAATACCACAGATACCATTTTTGTGGCCAGGTAAATTGACAATAGATTATGCCTGTTATCAGTATTTTATTAAATATTTAAAAATTAGCCATTCTATAACCATAATTTTAATGGTTATAATGTATTATAATTTATTTCCAAGTTATTAAAATGCTGGGATGAGTACTGTTATCATTAAATTCATATCCTTAATTTTTTGCTAACTTTAAACACCTGAAAGTGAAACATTTCAAAGTTTTAAAAATTGCAGTGTTAAAAGTTGCCCTCCAGTTAGATCATGTCAGTTTGTGTTCCCTTAAGAAATGTATGAGGGTACTCGTTCACCATACTTTCTGCTCACCAATTAGGTATGGTTACAGTAGAATCTCATTGCTCTCTAAATATGCATTTGTTGGATGACCTTTAGATGAATACATTTTCCTGTATTTTAAGTATATTTTTCTGGTATTAATTGTCTGTTTTATTTCAGTTGCTGTAGTTTTCCCCCACTGATTTATAAGAATTCTCTCTGTACATATACTTAACTCAGATGTTGCAAGAAATTTTTTTCACTTTTGTTAGTCTTCATTGATTTTTTTGACATACAGTTTTAAAATTTTTGTGTTTTTGATGAAATCATAATTTTAATGATTGAATTGCATCATAAATTGTAAGTTATTTTAAAAATGCTATAATGAGCGTTCTTATCTTTAAATTCATATCCTTATTTCCTTTTTTGATTTCTGTCTTTGGCTTCTTTTTAGAAAGACTTATCTGTGGAGAACTTTAATCAGGTCCTTGTGTATAATAGTGTTATATATGCAATTATAATAATGCTTCTAAAAGGACTGTTTGTCATCTGCCACATAAATATTTTAATTATATTTTTCTAGGTAAAATGTTCCTATTGTATGCTCCTATATCATCTTATGCTTACCTTTGTTGTATTATTTATACTATATTGTAATTACTTAGATATTTGCTCATCTTTTCTAGTTAGGAGACTTCTTTAGGTGATGTTTTGATTCCTGTGTATCTTTGGGTCCTCAGTGACCATCATAATTACTGGTCTTAAGTCTCAGTAAATACTTATTGATTGAAATGAATAGACACTCTATCTTAAAGTAGATCCCAGTTTGGGGAGTAGTATTGATTGAACATGAACATGTGGTATTGTTGTAAAGTCTGTCCTTAAAGTCACTGTGACCGTAGTATTTTGCTGGCTACTGCCCAGAGACTGCTCTTAGTCACTTGCCTGTTGGCCTTTCCGGCTTGGCCTCTTGCTTCCACAAATCCAGCAAGAGAGAGAATATGCTAGTAAGAGAAACTCTATATTCTTATGTAATGCACTGGTGAAGCGATAGCCTATCATTTTTCCTGTTTGCTAGTCACAGGTCCTGTCTAGATCAAGGGGAGGATATAAGTGTCAGAAGGCAGGGATAATTGGGGACTGTTTTATAATAAGTTCTCCACACTATGGATTACTTGAAATATAGTGTTAGATTTCTTGGAAACTTTTGGTCTACATGTCACTTGTTGAGGTTAAACAAATATTCACATTTTTTGTTGATGTAATGGTCATGCTTTGAGAGTATTCCTCCTTTTTTTTTCCTATGTATTTAGTGACATAGTGTATTATTTTCTATAATAATTATTCTTTTGTACATCCTAATTTCTTCTTAATCTGGTTCTAAAATTTAAAGTAATAACATTCCAGTATGTGTGTCTTTCTTTTCTTTCTGTGTTTGTATAAAGTTAAAATAAATAACTTTGTGTTTATTACCTTAAATCTTTTCTCTCTTGGGACAGGTACACCAGGAGCGTCTCTATCAAGAATACAATTTCAGCAAGGCAGAGGGCCATCTGAAACAGATGGAGAAGATATATACTCAGCAAATACAGAGTAAGGATGTAGAATTGACCTCTATGAAAGGGGAGGTCACCTCTATGAAGAAAGTGCTAGAAGAATATAAGAAAAAGTTCAGTGACATTTCTGAGAAACTTATGGAGCGAAATCGCCAGTATCAGAAGCTCCAAGGCCTCTATGATAGCCTTAGGCTGCGAAATATCACTATTGCTAACCAAGATAGTACTCTTGAACCATCTATGATTGCACAGTCTGGTGTTTTTGGCTTCCCACTAGGTAAGAAAGGACATGTAATATCCAGTATCAGTTCTTTAAATTAAATTAGTGATGTTTCACACTGTGTCCTGCATAGTTCCATGCAGTTAGTGGAGACTCCAGAGGCGTAGAGTGGTAGTAGTAGTGGTAGGCTCTAGGTTCTTCATCTGTGTCTCAATCAGCACATCCTTAGTTTTATCTGTTTTATTTGCTTACATTTTAAATTACATCTTCAATTTATTTGAACAGAGAGTAAATAATTCCAAAATTAAAGTTGGCAAATTTCCACTTCAAATGAAAAGCTATTTGGTTGCAGTAATAATAATAATATTAGCTGCCATTTATTAATTCCTTACTAAATATTAGAAACTATTATAATTTCACATGTATTTGTGTCATTTATAAAACTTTATGAGGTAGGTGTTTATTATCATGCCTATATTACAGATGAGAAAGCTGAGGAACAGAAAGGTTAAGTAAATTGGTCAGGGTCACAGAGCTATCTTCAGAGCCCATACTCTTTTAACTATTTGCTATCCTGTGAGAAGACCATGTTTTAGTTTCTTTCACATGACAATACTGATTGCACAGTTCTTAAGTTATTAGTGGTTGTTTATTCATTCATAAATTTATCAAATATTTATCAAGCATGTTTCATGTGCCAGGCTGCTGGAAAAAATTTTGGGCAATGGGGATGTAAGGATTATCCAGATAGGATTTCTGCCTCCTGGAAATACACAGTCTAGCTTTTCTACTTGTCAGATGGCAGGGAATCTCTTCCTGAGTTCTCTCCTTTATACCACTCTTGATATGACAGAATCTAGTAGTTTTTACTATACTATTAATATACTTTTTTGACACACAAAAAAGTGAAAATTCTTGAGATGAACTTTTATTTGAGCTGGATTTTTATAAAACTTCTTTTTTTGAATTTTATTGTTGAGGAGAAGAGGATATCCTAGAAAAGGCATGAAGTAATGAGAAGAATATCAGATAGGAGAATTGAAACAAAAATAAGTTTCAACTTAGCTTTCAGTTAATTATATGATTTAGTCAATCAAAGTATTATTGTGTATGGGCATTATAGGTATTCTTATATTTTCCTTGTGACTATCCACATTTATTTCAATTTCTTTCATTTTTACCAGTTCTTACCTGTTCCTTTTTTTGCACACACTTATCTTTTTCTTTCACCTCTTGCCACCATTGTTGACTTGAAGTAGATATAGTCAGCATTCTCCTTTAGTTATATAACTAAAGCTAAGGATGGGTTCAGTGAAAGTGAAAGTCGCTCAGTCGTGTCTGACTCTTGGCAACTCCATGGACTATACAGTTCATGGAATTCTCCAGGCCAGAATATTGGAGTGAGTAGTCTTTCCCTTCTCCAGGGGATCTTCCCAACCCAGGGATCCACATTGCAAGCGGATTCTTTACCAACTGAGCCTCAAGGGAAGCCCCAGTGGAAGTTGTTAAATGCTTATTTTATCAGATCTATTGTATAATTTTTCTTAAGGGTGTGCTAATTGATCTTGGGACTTGAATATGTGCCAGGTTTTCATGGTAGTCATATATTTTCCAGAGCGCCTATGGAAATTGTAAAAAAGAAATTTGTTCTTAAAGAACCTGGGACAAAAGTTACACACACACACATGAATATATATGATATTCCTTGAATGTAGATTAATAGATAACAAATAAAATTATGATACTGTAAATTCTAGCTCTACAAAAGTATTTCACTGTGTTAAGTTACTTTTGGTGATGAGGTAATTGCTATCACTGGAAACTGCACATGGAAGAAGGTAAGATATATATACGGTGGTAAGGGGAGGAGGCCATCTTTTCTTTATCCAAGGTTTATGTTTTACGCATGTCATAAGTGTTGAGTTCTGTTAAAATATTATTGAATGGCTTTGTTTTTTTCATCCAAAAGATCTGTAAGGAAATAGATTCTTAAGTTCTTCCCTTATTTTTCTTCTAGGGAACTCCAAGTTTCCTTTGGACAGTACACCAGTTCGAAATCGGGGTGGTGGAGATGGAGATTTTCAGTTCAGACCATTTTTTGTGGGTTCTCCCACAGCACCTGAACCTGCCAACAGCTTTTTTAGTTTTGCCTCTCCAAATAATGAATTAGAGCAGCAGCCAGTCTCTAGCAGGGCCTTTAAAGTAAAAAGAATTTAGTTGACCTCACAGAATTTTCTCTGTTCACTTTCAGTAATTTCATTTAGTAAATAATCTTTGTTTCACATAGGAGTCACCAGCCTTTTGTGTTTGTAGTGAATCTTCCAAGTTGTTTTCACATTTCCAACTTATAAGAGATTAAGTGGCAGTGGGCTGCGGGTGGCTTCAGATTTCCTTTTCAGTTTCTTTTATTAAACTCAATTTTAGGGTAAACTGTTTTCATTGGTAGCAAAAAGCTTACAATATTTTTGGGTGTTTGTAGATCACCATTTGTTTATGTTTGAGCTGTTTCTGGCTGAGCCCTATGTTTAAGTATACTGTATAAGCACCTCTGTTTTATGTCTACATGTCAGTTTGGGTTCTGGTGTGTATATGTTCCTTTACATTTCTTTTTGTTGTTGCATTTGACAGTATGTTTATGTGAAAATTTTGGTTTCAGGAACTAGTGAGTGAGCCTGTAGCTTGTTATTTGGAAACATACATTTATTTGTATATACTTAATGTATTTGCCCATGTATGAACTTGTTTGGAGGTGTCATATCAGTGAATGAAGGAAGGTACAATTTGATGCATGTATGTTTAGTTCCTATTTCTATTTAAGAGTAATTCACATTGATAAAGTTATGTTGAAAGTTGACTTCTTGGCATTTAAGATAAAATTACTTCTTTATTTTTTTGCTAGCTGTTGCCCTGGATCTACTTACTTAGGAATGCACTTCTACTGCAGGAAACTTGCCAGTATGTTGTTGATCTCAAGATTATAGTAATTAAAATACTTTTAACGATTTATTCCTTGTTTTTCTTTATTAAATAGTGGTCATTTCTGACTACTATCACAGTAAAATATAGAACCAATAAAGAAATTTGAAGGATACTTTCAGTAACTTTATATCCTATTAGAGGCAAGACATGAAATCATACTGGTTGAGGAGCCAGAACATCAAGGTTCCAGTTATTTTTTCCCCCCATATATTAGTTGTACAAGTTTAAGTTTAAACTTTCTGGGGCTTTGTTTCTACATCTGTGATGTAAGGTGTTGAATTAAATTATCCTTACAGCCTTTTCTAACTCTTAGATTTTGTGATTTATTGTTACTGGCTTGGGAAGAATTGCCATGGAATTACCTAAATTCCAAGTTCCATTGTTTTTTATGTAATAAAAGTCATACGGAAATCATTTGAGTGTATTTTATAGTCATTGTAGAAAGGCAAGTAAATACCCTTGCTTTTCCTAATTTAATAGCAACCAAGTAACATTTTCTTCTTTAAGGGTATAGAATATCAAATCTCTTAAAAAAATAATTTTTATAGTACCCCAAAGTTAAAATGGTATCTGAGAAAGAGGATGAAAAAATCTTTACTTAAAAAGCTCAAAAACACCCCTTTCTATTTCATTGCTAATTACACAGATTTTATAGGTTGCAGTTTTTTCTTCCTTGTGAAGTTTTAAAATTTGTTGAAAAGTGATTTGAAGAAATCATTTTTGTACATTAATGATTTCTGTCCTGAACCTTTGCTTCCTTTGTTAGGTTCACAGAATCAATTTGAAGTATAAGTAAGCTATAATTAAAACTAAAGAAAAACTCTGGTGGACTATTACATGCTATTTTTAAAAAATTGCATTCTACTTTAAAAATATGTAAGAGTTTAATACATTCACATGGTACAAATTCCAAAGGTACAAAAAATTTATAGAGTGAAAATTCTTGCCTTTCACTCCTATTCCTGAACTTTTCCTTTCTGGAAGCAGTTAGTCTTGTAGTGTCTTGTGTCTTGTGCAGAGATAGTCTCAGTTCAGTTCAGTCGCTCAGTCGTGTCCGACTCGTTGCAACTCCATGAATCGCAGCACGCCAGGCCTCCCTGTCCATCACAAACTCCCGGAGTTTACTCAAACTCATGCCCATCGAGTCAGTGATGCCATCCAGCCATCTCATCCTCTGTTGTCCCCTTCTCCTGCCCTCAATCTTTCCCAGCATCAGGGTCTTTTCCAACAAGTCAACTCTTCGCATGAGGTGGCCAAAGTATTGGAGTTTCAGCTTCAACATCAGTCCTTCCAATGAACACCCAGGACTGATCTCCTTCAGGATGGACTGGTTGGATCTCCTTGCAGTCCAAGGGACTTTCAAGAGTCTTCTCCAACACCATAGTTCAAAAACATTAATTTTTCGGCACTCAGCTTTCTTCACAGCCCAGCTCTCACATCCATACATGACCACTGGAAAAACCATAGCCTTGACCAGACGGACCTTTGTCGGCAAAGTAATGTCTCTGCTTTTTAATATTCTATCTAGGTTGGTCATAACTTTCCTTCCAAGGAGTCTTTTAATTTCATGGGTGCAGTCACTATCTGCAGTGATTTTGGAGCCCCAAAAAATAAAGTCTGACAGTTTCCACTGTCTCCCCATCTATTTCCCATGAGCTGATGGGACGAGATGCCATGATCTTAATTTTCTGAATGTTAAGCTTTAAGCCAACTTTTTCACTCTCCTCTTTCACTTTCATCAAGAGGCTTTTTAGTTCCTCTCCACTTTCTGCCATAAGGGTGGTGTCATCTGCATATCTGAGGTTATTGATATTTCTTCCGGCAATCTTGATAGTCGCGGCTGGCAGAGATAGTCTAGGTGGAAGCAAATCCTTTTTTTTTTTTTTTAAATTATGTTTGTTTTTGAATAGGTAATACATTTACATGACAAACATTCAAAAGTGTACACAATGAGAAGAATGTTCTCCTAGACAGCTCTTAGTTCCCCTATTTCCCTCTTTAGACACAGTCAATTGTTTCTTAAATACCCTTTGGGATATAGTTTATCAATATATAAACACTATTAGTGTACTGATACACGTGTGTGTACTGCTGTGTCCAACTCTTTGTGACCTGTCCAACTCTTTGTGACCCCGTGGACTAGCCTACCAGCCTCTTCACATACACGTATGCGCGCGCGCGCGCGCACACACACACACACACACACACACACACACACACACTCACACACAAACTACCCACTACCCAGGGATCCAGCGCGCGCGCACACACACACTCACAGCGCAGGGATCCAGCGTGCCCGCGCATATCACACACACACTATTAGTGTATTAGTGATGGCTTTCTTAATACCATTCCAAATGTAGTCGATTTATTAGGATAGTGTTTTCAAAATTATAAAATTCCTCCTATATAGAAAATCACTGTAAAGTTTGGAAAACATTCAGGCAAGTTACCTTACCACTGTACTACATTTCCTTCAAAATTTTAAACTTAGAGGCACCCACTTTCTTAGCCTGTTTTTTCCCTGGGGTATTATAATCTTGGTATAAACAAATAGGAATATACGAAACAATAATACGCAGGTACTTAATCTGAGAACATTTTGTTTGCAGGACTTGGAAAAGACAAATTTTTGAATTTGAAAGTGAATGCAGACCATTTCCTCTGGGCTATGGGCGTTACAGGCGGATTCTTTACCGTCTGAGCTACCAGAGAAATCCACTTAGCACAGTTCCGTTCGGAGCGGCGCGCTTTCTTGAAAACCAGCTTTCACTCAGGCGCCGTAAGCCTCCAGAGCTCTAGATGTCGCTGTGGCTCTATCGTGGGGACGGGTGTGCGTCTCTGTGGTTTTAAGTCGGGGGCGGAGAAGCTGGGAAATGATGGCTGTTGAAGAGGAAGAAGTCAAGGAGGTCTTGCAGAAATTGCAGGTGGGGCCACAGATTAAAATACATATCTGCTTTTGTTACTTGGGAAGAAGTAGAGAGCCCAGTTTATGCACTGCCTGCGAATCTCTTGACACATACCTGACGCTACTTGCGTCCCCGTGGTTACTATAACAACTCCCGGAGGTGCAGCCGCAACGGGCTAGACGAGTCCCCCCGGCCAAGCGACAGGCGCAGCCAGTTTTTGTTGAGATCCCGTGGTGCTGACCCGACTGCAGCCAATTTCAGCCCTGTAGGGAAGAGGATTTATTGCTCCTAACTTTATTCCTGTATGTTGTTGGGAGGTTGTATTCACCCCTCCCCGCATTCACCCATAACAAATGGCAACACGTGTGTTTGGCAGATCTGCAGGAGCTATTACCCATTGCTTGTAGTTTTGATTCCTCCGAAGACCATTTCTTCATTATTTTCATGCTTTCAAATTGGCAACCATCACAGTAATGGCTTGCACCGCGTGCATTCTGGTTACTCTCCTTAGAATTTAACAGTTTTGATTTCTTTGCGTACTCCACAATTCCAGTTTGGGGTCTAATGCAGAAGGCTCCAGACTCCACTCAGCTCACAGTTGACTGTGGTAACTGGGACAGTCTTGTACTTGGTAGATAGGAGCTAACTAATTGCTTGACTCTTTTCTTTTAATAACCCAAGATTTTTGTAAAATGTCAGAAACTGAGTTTTTTGTATTCTAAGGCAGCCTGAAATGTACTCAGAAACTGAATTTTTGGTATTCTAAGGCAGCCTGAAATGTAAATATTAGACTTATGACAGGTTTGTAACTTTCTTAAAGGCTTCTACAGCAAAAGTTTAAACATTGATGAGATTTCTTTGTTTCTTTAGTAGATTAGACTAATAACACCTTTTAGAGTGTGAGCTTTACCTTACATCCGGTTGACTTGGGTGTAATTCTTTTCCCTAGTGTGACTGTCTGAAATCAGAGATTCTCAGTCTAGCACTGTATTATAAACATTGTGTATGTATGTTTGTATATGTATAGAAAAAACCTGAAAAGGTAAACTAAGCTGTGGTTATCTCTGAGGTTATTGGGATGATCATGAGGAATGTATTACCCTGCATATTTTACATGTACCTGTTGGAATTTTAACAAAATATATATATTGATTTTTGCCAGGACAAAAGTTATTAAAAATGTTAAGTGTAGCAAAACAAACCAACAAAGCCAATTTCTTGTATGTTACAAATAGAAACAAACAATAAGACCTTCTCTATAATTCTTAATAGGTAGCTATGATGACTGCATGATGAAAGGAAATGGGTTGTAATATTTGTTGAGAGCTGTCTTTTCCTGCTCTTATTTGTGGTAGATGCCCTAAGCATCTAGGTAGAGGATACCTGGGATATCTTGGGGGTGGGTGGGGAGGGTGCAAGGATGGAATGGGAGAATGGAGTAGAGAGAGGAAAAGGATGGTGGTGTTGCTATTCTTGGGAATAGTGGTAAACTTTATATCATTGTTATAGACATTTTCGGTTAGAAGGAATACATTAAAGGATTTTTCTCAAAGTGTATTTTACAGATTATTTTTATTACCATGCAGGGTGCTTGATAAAATGCAGAATTTTGAGTTCTGTTAGAACCACTAACAATCAGAATCTCTGTAGGCTGGGTCCTGGAAATAATACAATAAAACTTGAAAAGCACTGTTACAGAAGGAGATAATCTAACTTCATCATTTTGGGTAGAATTTTAATTCCAAGTAAGTACTGTGAAGAAAAGTAGGAGTGTGATTTAACAGTGGGGTGGAGGAGGGAGTTACTTTAGTTTGGGTAGTCAGGGAAAGCCTGTCTGAGAAATTGGTGTTTGAACTGAGACCTAAATAATGAAGAGGAATGAGCCATGCAAAGGTCTGGAGAAAGAATGTCCAGGCAGAGGGAACAGCATGTGTGTAGGCAGGATTGAGAATGGATTTTGAGGACCTAGCTTGAATAGTGTAGGACAGTGATAAGAAGTGAAGTCTGTGGCAGGATAAATGGTGGGAGGTCAGATCTTACAGTCTTCTAGGTCATAATAAGGAGTTGGATTTTATTCTGTCTGCATTGGGAAACTAGTTTGTGACATGACCTTACCTTTCTGTAAGGCCACTTCAGCGTAGTGAGGAGAATGGGAAAGAGTAGAAGCAGGACGATCAGGTAAGAAGCTATTGAAATAGTTCAGGCAAGTAATGATGCTTATTTAGTTGAAGATACTCATAGTGACATGGAGACTGGTGGATGGATTTGGGATGTGATGCAGAGGTAATTGGTAAGACTTGGTGGGATTGGATTATACCTTTCTACTGCTGTTTTGTTTTAGGAAAGAATAGATAATGGAAAAGCTTTGATTGATGTCCCAGGAAGACTCAAACAGAGATATTTAAAGAGGAAGGAGAACATTTACTTGGAAAGAATGCAAGTGAGCCAAAGGATGACTTGACAAAAACTAAACAAACAAAAAATACAAATATCTAAAGAAAAAAAACTGCAAAAATACAAAATTTATCAAGCTTAAATTGTTTGTCGTAGAGAAAGGCTCTCACGTGTTTGTCATATTCACAGATGTCACATATTTTCAGATATCGGCATAGGAAAAATCAGGGGTAAGGGATTATTATTGTTAGGAAGTCCAGTTTTAAGGGTAAATTTCAAAGTTTTATACTTTAGGGACCAGTACTAGATAGGATGATCTTATTAACTTTGTTTTATCTCAAGGTGCAAAGCATTTCCTCTCTCCTGACTAAGGTATGTGAAGTGCTTAATCATATTGGAAGCTCTGCTGGGTCTAAGAGGAGAGACTGTCATCATGGTGCGGATTTACTTGAGACAGTGTGAGAGCGGGCTGAACAACTTTCCTTCCTTATCTGCAGCCTGCCTCTTGTTTCATTCCTAGGCGAGGTAGAGGATTGGCATTTCTAGGCCAAAAGTTGGTATGGCTAGCCAGTCTCAAAGTTTACTTGTCTGGTATCCTCTCCACTAATGGAGCCCATTCTTATAATGGTCTCATTCTTATATTCCTAGGAACTGGTGGACCAGCTGTATTCATTTCGAGAGTGCTATTTCGAGACACATAGTGTTGAGCATGCAGGGAGGAAGCAACAAGATGTGCGGGAAGAGATGGAGAAGACCCTGCAACAGATGGAGGAAGCAGCGGGTATGAGTCCCAAAAGAACACACAACCCGCTGTTCTTCATTGAAATGAGATGGAACTTTGCTCTCTCTGTAGACTCTTTGGTATCCTGTTTGTGGCTGCTACAAGTTAGTACAACAGAATATTTCTTCTCAGGGTGCCCGTGCAGGATGGCAGCCTTTCCATTCCCTGAACTCCATTTCCAAAGGCTGTGAAATGAAAAAGAGCATACTTATTGCTTGGTTACTGTTGCAGTAATCTTCTTAACTGACCTTTCTGTCTCTTAATTTCTTTTACTTCCAAATCTACTTAAACAGTGGCCATGGCCATTATCTTTCTAAATAATTGCTTCATTAATTTAATCTCATCTCTTGTCTGCATCTTCAAAGATTCCTACTCTTGACTGGTTGTGGTCTAAACCAGTCCTTTGTTATTCAAGTCTTCATTGTCTGACTTTTTTTCCCCTACCCTTCTCGCTGACTACCTACTTACAGAGGAGCTTTTTGTTTCATTCAGGTTGACCCATCCATCCTCCTATGAACATGCCACATGTATTTCTCCTTTCTGCTTCTTTGTCTTTGTTTACATCATTTTTCTTCCTGGAGTGTCTTGTCTTTTCTCCTTTTCACTTTGTAAAGTCCATTCATTGGGTGTATGCCGTATGCTCTTTTTCATTGTGTTTTAATTATCCATGGATAGACATTGTCCTCTCCACTAGATTGTAAGCCTCTCAAAGGTAGGGGTAATGCTTTGTTACCTTGTTTTCTAACATAATAGTCTGCATGTGGTAGGTTTTCAATAAATTGTTCATGAAGATTTTCCTTAGTTATTTGATTGCTAGAACTGGCATAGGGATTCCTTGAAAGTACCCTGGTCTCACCTGTAAAACTATCTGGGTTTCCTTTATCTTTTCCCTTCCTCCTAGGTTCAGTCCAGGGCAATGCACAGGTTCTGATGCTGACTGGGAAGGCACTGAATGTGACCCCTGACTATAGCCCCAAGGCCGAGGAGCTTCTGTCAAAGGCTGTGAAGCTGGAGCCCAAGCTGGTAGAAGCCTGGAACCAGCTGGGTGAGGTGTACTGGAAGAAAGGGGATGTTGCAGCTGCCCATACCTGCTTCTCAGGAGCCCTCACCCATGTGAGCTGCCCACTCTGCCCTCAGAAAACACAGATGGGGAGGGTGGGATTTCTCTGGTTTTGTGAGTTTCCTTAGGCCACGAATACCAGAGTAGAACTGCGTGGGAACTAGGAGGACAGAATCAGAAGAGGGGAGAGAGGATAGGGGAGCAGACTTGGATGAGGAAGAAGATGATGGGACCAGGTTCAGAGGTAGTTGAGAAATGAAGAAAAGTAACCGAGTTGATCCTTGTAGATGGGAGTCTTAGATATAGATGGCAGTAAGAATTAAGGTGAAAAATTAGAAGCCTGAACTAAAATAGATCTGGAAAGGAGAAATAGAACCATGAAAGTTAAGTCTATGACCTCTCCACTTGCAGTGCAAGAACAAAGTCTCCCTTCAAAACCTGTCAATGGTGCTTCGCCAGCTGCGGACTGACTCCGGAGATGAACATTCTCGCCACGTCATGGACAGTGTCCGACAGGCTAAGTTGGCTGTGCAGATGGACATCCTTGATGGCCGCTCCTGGTGTGAGTGCCTTCAAAAGATCTCCAGCAGGTTTCTAGAGCAGTGGTTCTCAACCGTGGCTGCACACCAGGGTCATCTGGAGCCCATCTGTTGAGTCTGACTCTTAAGTGTGAAGCCAGGGCATCTTTGCTTTGAAGGAGCCTGAAAGGTATTTTGATGAACCACTATTCTAGTACCTCTTGGACCTGTCCATTGAAGAGAGGAGGCTTATGTTTCCCTATAAGCAAAGCAGGGCTTTTTTGCAGTCTCCTGTTGTTTCTCCTTTGGGTTTGTGTTTGCCTCTTTATCCCAGAGGAATTTTGGGTATACCCTGAGTATAGTGTCATCACTGGTTTGTTTCAGATGTGGGGCCTTTCATACAGACTTTGGAGGGTGACCAAAATAGTTATCCTTAACACTTGGGTTCTGAGATGATCCATCACTGTGTTTCTCAGTTTTTTTCTTTGCCCTCCCACCCCCACTTAGGAGGCACAGGATGGCTAGAGTTGGTTGGAGTTGGATATTTCCCTTCTTCCATGTGGAAGGCTGGAGCTAGCCAGAGTTGGTTATTTCCCTTCCTTAGGTCAGTTACCTTCTGATAATACCTTAGTAGGTTAGGCTATGGTTAACTAGTTTCTCCTGAGGGCACTTGTCAGGAATGGAGTGTTCAGGAGTTCCCTGGTGGCCTAGTGGTTAGGATCCCAGGCTTTTACGGCTGTGGCCCAGGTTCAGTCCCTAGTTGGGGAACTGAGATCCCTCAAGCCACGTAGTGTGGCCAAAAAAACTCACGCAAACAACAACAAAAAGAATGGCGTGCTCTGGCATATTTCAAAAAAGTTTCTTTGTCCCCTGCCTCTGCTAGAAGTATGAAGGTATTCTTTGATATTTGCTATGGGAATCTGGTTGAGTTCTTGGAGGTAAATCTTACAATATTGTTGGGGGTCCCTTATGACTGGTACCCCTGGAGTTTTTAACTCCCAGGCTTGTCCACAGTGAGGCTCCAGAATTCATCAATTTCAGTTTAGGTTTTCCTGCCCTAGCACTGTTGGTGTGGTAGCTCCTGAGTTTCTGCTAAGCAATAACTCCCTGTATTCACCTCTGTCTGTCTGATTTTGGAGAAGTGGTTTGCCTGTAATGTGCCCTTTATTATGCATCCAAGAGAAGTTGTGGATTTTTTAGTCTGTTCAGCTTTTTACTTGTTAGGATAGAGTGGTGACTTTAAGCTCCTTACACGCAGAACCAGAAATCTGTATTTCTCTTTCAGATATTCTGGGGAATGCCTACCTTTCTCTTTACTTCAATACTGGCCAGAACCCTAAGATCTCCCAGCAAGCCCTCAGTGCTTATGCCCAAGCAGTAAGTATTTATGGTTACCCAGGCTGGATATGTAGAGGCAGCAACAGAGGCAAAAATGTTGTTCAGTCTTCTTTGTGGCATTTTAGCCAGCAGCATGGGGAGTGTTTGCTGGCATCTGATGAGTGTGGTTTTGTGAAGCCAGTCCTGCAGAGGTGAGGTATTTCTTCCTATAACTTGAGTATTAGCAATCGCTTGCAGAATGTGCCTCAGTGCGAGGTAGCTATTTGAGCTGTCTAGATTTCTTTTTTTTTTTTTAGATTTCTTATATAGGCATGTGTAACCAAATCACAGAGCCCATCTCAATATGTTCATCTTTTTGAATGGGAAAAAAGTGTATGTTAAAATAACGTTTATTAACATATATACATATTTTTAAAAAAAATTAAAACTCTGCTACATAAGTATAAATTAAACAGTAACCCAGGTTAACCATTGAATAGTATGAATCTGGATTTCCCACAGGCTAAAATAGAAAATAGCGTGTAATCCATTCTACATTATATCCTAGGGATTAATTCACTGGAGCTTATGCTTTGCCTTAGGTTTTCAGGCTGTTTATATTAATATCCACTTGTAGGGGGGTTTCCTTCAGGCTTTGAGTGCATGAATGTTCATGGTTAACAAGGTTTACATTGGCCTCCTGAGTACTCTTTTTATTTAGACTTCGCATTCACCCTTTGTTTTCTCTTGACATAGAGACTTGCTTTTTAACTTACTGTTATTTATTTTGCGCTGAGTGGCAGACTAAGGAATATAGCTACCATATGTTCATGTTTGCAGTTTAGACTGTTCTTTTTTCTGTCCTTTTTTACCATCCCACAGAAAGTTTATATTTTAGAAGACTGAATTGTGAAACATAGATAACCATTTTTAATAAGCACAGTCAAAATTTTAATCACAGAATGTCTCCAAGAATTATAGCTTTAAAATATACAACCAATTTTTATATTTCAAAAATATCTCAACTCATATAAGTTAATTTCTTAAAAAGTATATTTCTCATGCTATTTGTTTGGCTTTGCCCTGGTGTACTCTGGTGCAGCTGTACCCAGAAGCTGTGGGGACAGATGTGTACACCATGCTCTTTCTGTCGCCTCTGTGCTGATGACTGCAGCTCACCTGGTAGGACCACGCTCATGACAGAGGAACATGGAGTAATAAGTTGGCTTTTTGAAAAATGACAGAGATGACTTCCTCACACACTGTGCTTCTCACTGTAGTCTTTTTTTTTTCCCCTTTATTTTTATTAGTTGGAGGCTAATTACAATATTGTAGTGGTTTTTGCCATACACTGACATGAATCAGCCATGGATTTACATGTGTTCCCCATCCTGAACCCCCCTCCCACCTCCCTCCTCATCCCAGCCCTCTGGGTCATCCCAGTGCACCAGGTCCGAGCACTTGTCTCATGCATCCAACCTGGACTGGCGATCTGTTTCACACTTGATAATATACATGTTTCGATGCTGTTCTCTCAGATCATCCCACCCTCGCCTTCTCCCATAGAGTCCAAAAATCTGTTCTATACATCTGTGTCTCTTTTTCTGTCTTGCATATACGGTTATCGTTACCATCTTTCTAAATTCCATATATATGCATTAGTATACTGTATTGGTGTTTATCTTTCTGGCTTACTTCACTGTATAATGGGCTCCAGTTTCATCCATCTCATTAGAACTCATTCAGATGTATTCTTTTTAATGGCTGAGTAATATTCCATTGTGTATATGTACCACAGCTTTCTTATCCATTCGTCTGCTGATGGGCATCTAGGTTGCTTCCATGTCACTGTAGTCTTAACAGTGACATTTAACTCAACCCAACCTGTGTAGTCAGCAGGTTTGGTTTTTATTCAGTCAGGGAACTTTTTAGTCAGAAGTATTTTGTTTTACTCTGATTTCTTAATCTGGTAACTGCATACATTTTAAGGTATAATATGATGTACTTTTTTAAAACTTTATATTTGGCTTCTGCTAAATAATTGCTTTTAACTCTTAATTTCTTCATCAGACCTACATTTTAAAACATATTTGAACCAGTCATTTAAATAATTTTAATTCATGTTGTTTGTGCTTTTGCAGTGTGCCAGGCAGTGAATAGAATAAAAAAAAATAAAGTGATCAAAGCCACGAAGATAGCTGCAGATATGGCAGTCTGTACTGCCTTATGGTTTCTGGCCATCTATTTAAAGTAGCAAATCAGAATTTGGCTTTCTCTGTGTGTTTTAAGGGGGCTTAGATGTAGTAACATGATTCTGTTTGTGTCTGAAGCTGGACTCATGGTCAGAGGAAATGCATTAAATCAGCATCATTTGTTTTTCTAGATTTTCTTCATTTATATTAACATCTCATTAATTAAAATTTTTTATCAGATATTAGTCACATATTGATTGCTTCTGTCTTTATACTATTACATGGGTAAATTATAATCATATTTTGAAGTTCCATGCATATACAAAGCCCTTACATCCTGAGGTTTCAGGGACTGTGTAATATGTTCCACACAAGCATTTACTGTATAATAGTGTGGGTATAGGAAACAATTTGACAAGCAAAAACTTACATTTTTCCAAGGAGAGGAGGTTTAGGACATGTTGTATATGGCCATCCTTAAGACTGAGACAGGAGCCACTGATGGTCTTCTTATTCCACTATAGGAGAAGGTTGACAGGACAGCTTCTAGCAATCCTGATCTTCATCTGAACAGGGCAACGGTAAAAAGAAATTATCATTTATATGGGGGAGTGGTCATCTGAAAGTCAAATACATAAGCTATCTAGGTCTTAGCCTGTGAGGATAACTGAGTATTCATAGGGACAAAGTTGAGTACTAACTGCTAGAGGAAAGCCAAATTATTTCTGGGAAAAGCTTGCTTAGTTTGACTAAAGTATCCGGGGGGAAAGGATAGGGGGCTGAGTTGGTGGGAGGGTGAATAGAGGATGGTGGGGCACAGTTTACAAGACTTTCCTGAAATGTTCATTATAAACATAAAAATAGAATCACCCAGTGTATGCAACTTAACTGTTTTAGAGTTTGGCTTCTTTGAAATGATTTCACCTTTGAGGTTGTGATCACCTTGGCCAGGAAAAAGGATATAAGGTGTTACCAGCTCTTCATGCAGTTCATTTGTAGAACAGGAAAACACCTGGGAGTGTTTGTAGAGTAGGAAAACAGTTGAGAACAGGAAAACAGTTTATTTCTCTAGATTCCTAGCCCACTGTGCTAGCCCACTTCTGCATAGTTTGTGTTAAACATAATTGGGAGGGTTTTTGTTACTTCTTGTGCAGTTACATAAATATGAGGAAAATTATGGTGAGGCCCTGGAGGGCTTCTCTCGGGCTGCAGCACTGGACCCTGCCTGGCCAGAGCCCTGGCAACGAGAGCAACAGCTCCTGGATTTCCTGACTAGATTAACCAGCCTCCTTGAGAGCAAGGTAAAGATGTCTGAAGATTGAGCCCGACTTTTTTATTCTGCCATAGGTCAATAAAATAGTAGGCCTCGGTAGTAGTGACCCTATAGAGGTGGGTAGGTGGTGGGGAGGACTAGACTCTCAAGGAGGGTGATTCGTTTCCAGCTTCTTACCTGTTTCCTTTTCCTTTGCAGGGAAAGGTGAAGACCAAAAAGTTACAGAGCATGCTGGGGAACTTGCGCCCAGCCCACCTAGGCCCTTGTGGTGATGGGCGCTATCAGTCAGCCTCGGGGCAGAAGGTGACTCTGGAGCGCAAGCCCCTGAGTGCGCTGCGGCCTGGGGTAAATAGTGGAGCTGTGGTCCTGGGAAAGGTGGTGTTCAGCCTTACCACGGAGGAGAAAGTCCCCTTGTGAGTTCCTCTTGCCTTTCTCTTTTTTATCCTTTTAAATTAGTTGCTCTCATTTCCTGGCCTTTCTCTGAGACTTGAAGATAATCGTTAGTGGTCAGAGATCAGTGAATTCTCTTTACCTTCTGTGACTGTCCCAAGAGACATTGTATTATCTAAGTGATGTCTGACAGTCTCTCTGTAGATTCTGTTACCACCCATTTTTTCCCTGAGTTTGGTGTTCTGTCGACTCTTACATCTGAAGCTGAAATTTGACAGCTATATTTTTTTTTATAAGATAGGAAATCTTTTTATAAGATGGAAACCTTATAATTCTCCTACCTCTTTGTGTTTTCATGATCATAGAAGTAGGAGAAAGAATTCTAAATCCTGTTTGGGCTTAGGTATGCCTAAGCGGTTCTGGAAGGTGAGCTTTGAGTTTGAATTTAAGGCCTGTTGGAGAGATTCTCTCAGATGTTATTCCACATCTGAATATTGAGCAACATTTGTTACTGAGCATCTGCTATATGTGTTGTTGGGAGTTAAAAAAAATGTAACACAGCCAAGTGAAGGGTTCTTATAGTTGAGCAGAGGAAATGAGTTAAGAATATTCATTTAGAAAATTTTAACTTTTGAAAAATGAGGGTTCAGTCAGTGCCATCATTCCTTGGTCCTTTGCTCACTTCCCAATCCCTGATTGACTGGTTTCCTTTTTCTGTTTTCTGTTGAAACGCTTTTGTTTCTGGGATCACCGGTGTTTGATCAAGTAGCTTCTATTACATGGCTCCTCAGCATTCTGACTTCTCTGTCACTATTGCCTTTCAAATTCCTTCTGCTTCATTCAAACTAAAATACAGCTCCCACTGTATGCCTGATTTTCCTCCATGGCATTTTCGTGGTGTACATGTTTGAAGAATTGAAGAACAGGAAGATAGTTGAGAAACGTTTAGTTACTATAGCAGACCTTAGAGTTAAGAGGAATGAGGAAGAAGTATAAGCAAATGTAGGTTTAGGGTCCCCGGAACAAATATTTTGCTACTCTTTGGTTTCTCTTTTCTGCCTAATTTCTAAATGTTAAGTCTACCTCTTAAGTAGACTTAATTTCTAAAAGTCTACCTCTAAAAACAGAGGTAGACTCTGTTTTTTTTTCTTTCCTCTTTCTCTGCCAGGATGGCAAATAGATGCCAACTTTGATCACTTGGCAGTGGCTGTATGGCTTACTGTTTAGAAGGATTCTGAGGCTTTTTCACCAGGAGAGGATGCTGTGCTTGATTGCAGTGTTTACTGTGAATTCGAGTGCCAAGTGAGCTTGAGCACTGATTCCTCACCGTCTCTTTTATAGGTCATCTCATTTGATGATGTTATATAAACCCAAGGCTTTGGCTGCCTCCTCTATGCTCACAGGTCCAGCTCCAGCCCAAGCCTCAATTCCAAGTTTTGGATTCCTGTATTTACCTGCCTCTGGGCTTTGATAAAATCTCTAACTCATTATGTTCAAAATTACTTATGTCATCTTTCTCTGTCAATCTGCTTCACCTCCCTGAATTCTTTGTCAATCAATGGTATTACCTCTAGTCAGTCACTTAATTAAGACTTCTGGAAGTTGTTATAAACTTCTCCATTCTCTTGCCTTGAGGCAATCGCCAAGACTAATAGATATACCTTTTAGTCCCTACTTCTTTGTGTCTGCTAATTTAATTCAGCCTCAGCACTTCTCCAGACAAGTCTCCCTATTCCCTGTTTTCCCTCCATTGTTCCACAGTGCAGAGAAACATGCCCCAGATACAGATTTGACCATTGCTGGTTCTTATTTAAAATCTCTTACTGGTATTGTGTAACTATTGGGATAAAGTTTTAACTCCTTAGTTTAACACACAGAGTCCTTTATGATTTTTTCCCTGTCTACTGTCTTCTGTCATTTTTCCTCTTGTACATTTTATTCCAATTTTAGGATTATTTTGTAGGTTTCAGAACAGCTGTTTTCATGCCTCTGTGTCTTTACACACAATTATTGTACCTGGATAATCTTTTTGCTGCTTCTTGATAGAGATTACATTCCCTCCCCCCAACATTCTATTATAAAATTTTTCAAACACACAGCAAAATTGAAAGAATTTTACAGTGAACATTTGTGTACTTATTCATATTTTATTATACTTAGTTTATCACATATCTGTCTATTCCCTTATTCATCTGTTGATATCTTATTTTTGGTGCATTTCAAAGTAATTGTAGACACTAGTATGCATTCAGCATGTAATCATTAACTAGAGTTCAGTATTTGTTTATAGTTTTCTTCTTTTTATGCAAAATTTGCATACAATGAAATGTGAAAATCTTAGTGTACATTCCTAAGTTTTGACAAATGGATATTCTCATATAACCCGGACGCCTATAGAGAACAATACCGCCACCTCAGCAAGTTCTCTCATGTTCCTTTCTTGTCAAGCCCTATTCCCTTCCCTGTAGAGGTTTTTTATTTCCACTGAGGATTAATTTTCCTGTTTTAACCCAGGTAGTTTTTCATTCCTTAAGATTCAGTTTGAGGGTCTCGTCTAAACGGAAACCTTCCTGGCTTTCCATTGATTTAGACATTTCTCCTCTGGGCCCCCACAGCCCAACCTTTGGTTTCACTGAATTCAGCACAAGAAAAGAGCTATTCTGGAACCTTTTGCAGTTGTATTGTAAGTGATGGTTTAATTGTCTGACATCCAGTAGACTAATAAAGTCACTTATAGCTGGATTGATGTCTCACTGCTAAGCACAGTGGCTGACACCAGATAGGTATTCAGTGAAAGTTTGTGAAATTAAGTAAATTGACAGTGATGGTTAGAGAGTTTGATATTGTGATAGTTAAATTGGTAGAGCAGGAATACTGTTCTGCTGTAACATTTTGAGCTCATTCATTATTAATATTCGTTGAAGGCTTCAGTGTGCCTGTTTCCCAGGTTCCTGGGAAAGTGACAGATTGATGAGTCTTATGGATGTTTTTTAAAGATATATATCTAAGACAAATGAGCCCTCAGGTGTACATAGTGAATGATGGTACCTGCTGTAGGATTTCTAAGGAAGTAACTATGAAAGCATTTGTTTATTTTGCTGGTATTATTAAAATCACTGTTTTTGCTTTTCTTTGCTGCTCACTCCTTTTTTTCCCACCCTGTCCCTCCCTCTTAACCCATCTTAACCTGGCAGTACATTTGGCCTGGTAGATTCAGACGGACCTTGCTATGCAGTTATGGTGTATAATATGGTGCAGAGCTGGGGAGTACTCATTGGGGATTCTGTAGCCATCCCTGAGCCTAACCTTCGTCTTCACCGAATTCAGCACAAGGGAAAGGTGAGTGATGGCTAGGATTCTTTCTCAGCTCATAGGCTCTCAAAGTGGGACTAAGTTTACCTCTTACAAAAAATATATATGTAAGGTAATGCAATATGTGTGTGTATGTGTGGTATGATATCCTATATCTACACACATATATGTAATTATTTTTTACTAAAAGCTAGATTATTATTATTATTATTATTATTATTTTTTTTTACTAAAAAACTACTGGTAAACAAAGAGAATTTTAAAAATGGACTGAATAGAGAAAGAAAATTATCTATGATATCACATGTGGAATCTGAAAAAACTGTACTTGTGAAAACAGTAGATGGTGGAATTGGGGAGGTTTTGTTTAAGGATACAAGCTTGCAACCAGTAGATAAATAAGTTCTGGAGACCTAATGCATAGCATAGTGATTATAGACAACAATGTGGCATTATAAACTTCAAAGTTGCCAAGAGATTAGATCTTAATTGTTCCCACCATAAAAAAGAAATCATAATTATGTGACATGATAGAAGTGTTAGCTAATACAGTGGTGGTAATCACATTGCAGTATATAAATATATCAAATTAACACATTGCATTGTATACCTTCCACTTATATAATGTTATATGCCAATTATTTCAATAAAAGTAAAATTTAAAAAATAGACTGAAATATTCTCATTCATATGTTATTGCTGTTAACAGTTTGGTATGTAAACCTGTAGTCTCTTCTTTTCATAAAAATATACACACATTTGTATGTATATTTTAAATGATGAGTGGAATATTATATGCAGATGTTTGTGAACATTTCCTTTGACTTTCCATATTCTACAACTTTGTTTTGAGTTAAGACAGAGGAGCTGATGATGATGAGGATAGTAAAAATTTACTGAACACTTAACTGACTGTAGACACTCTGTTTAGAGTTTTACTGCCTGCTTTGGCTCATTTAATCCTCATAAAACTCTACAAGAGTAGGTGTTGAACCACTTTTTCAAACCGTTTCGATCTAGGGTCAGCAAATTATGGCTGATTGACCAAAGCTGGCTCACTGCCTGTTTCTATATGACTTGTGAGCCCAAAATGGTTTCTATATGTTTAAATGAAAACAATGGAAAGAATAATAATTTATGGTATGTGAAAATTACAGGAAATTAAAATTTCAGTGTTTGTAATTAAATTTTTTTGAAACAAAATATGCTCATTTGTTTACTGTTATCTGTGGCTACTTTGGGGATTTCCCAAGTGGCTCAGTGGTTAAAGAATCTGCCTGCCATTGCAGGAAATGGAGGAGTTTCAGTTTGATCCCTGAGTTTGGAAGATCCCCTGGAGGAGGGCATGGCAACCACTCCAGTATTCTTGCCAGGGAAATCCCATGGACAGAGGAGCCTGGTGGGCTACAGTCCGTGGGGTCACAGAGTCAGACACGACTGAGCATGCATGTGGCTGCTTTTACACTACAGTGTCAGTGTTGGACAGCTTTGGGACAGAGACCATATGACCCACAAAGCCTAAAATATTTACTATTTGACTTTTTACAAAAAAATTTGCTGACCCCAGATCTAGATTATTTACAATTTTTATTTGTTCTAAAAGTACTGTAGTAAATATTTTTATTTATTTACTGCTCATATCCATGATTATTACATAAGTTTAATTAATTGACTAAAGAAATAAAGTGAGTTTCTAAGGTAAAATCTTAGTTTCAAAGCTTATGCGGTCTATGACTTTTGATATATACTGCCAAACTAGTTTTTGGAAGGTTCTACCAGTTAATACCAACAGTGAATGTAGTTATATTTCTTTGCACTTATGTGTAGAAATCTTTGAAAAACTATTTGCTGATTTTTCATGAAAAGGATAGCATCAGTATTCTTTGGCTTTGGTTTCTTGATTATTGGTGAGGTTGAAAATTGTATTAATATGTTTACTGACTATTTATAATCCTTTATAAATTTTTTTTGGTGGTGGGGGGGGTCTCTTGCTCATGTTCCTGTTAGGATGTTTCAAAAAATTGCTCTATGAGAATCTCTTTACTTTGACTTAAAAAAAAAACCTCCTTTATACTCCAAGTAGAACAGTATATTTTGGATAAAGATCTTTTAGCAACATGTTTTACAACTTAAAGTACATTTGAACTGATAAAGTGAGCTGATCTTCTGTTATTAGGAGAATGTTTAAAACCTACCTCTGTTAATTCCTCCTTATATAAAAGAAGTCAATCTATATTTGGCAGATTAATTTATAGCCTAACAAACACTTGATTAAGAGTTCCTCGCACTTTGCATTGGCTCTGGATTGACCACTGTGTGTATTTAGTTATAATTGTTGATAAACACTGTGGAAAGGGCAGATTTTTGTAGAGCCAGTGGAACTCATTTTGTTGGGCATTGCCAGGATCCTATCCTTTTTCAATTAGAGAATTGTCCACCCCCCCTTTTTTTAAAAATTTTTATTGGAGTATAGTTGATTTACAATGCTGTGTTAGTTTTGGGTGTACAGCAAAGTGTATCAGTTATATATGTACATATATCCACTTGTCCCCTTCTTGTAATGACAGTACTGGCAATCTCCCTGCCCCAGATATTCCTTTTGAGGATTGAAAACTTTGGGAAAATTGCATACCCTATGTAAGCTCATGTTTGTTTAATGTGAGATGGAGGTAAGGGGTGTATCTACTGAAGAAGGTAGAAAGGAGGGGAAGAAAGTCAAGATGCTGTATCCCTGTGCTGGAGTTTCTTCCATCCTAGGATCTGTAATTAGTCTCTGTACATTTGTCTTTTCCAGGACTATTCCTTTTCCAGTGTTCGTGTGGAGACGCCCCTCCTGCTGGTGGTGAATGGGAAGCCTCAGGGCTCCAGCAGCCAGGCTGCTGCCACGGTTGCCTCGAGGCCACAGTGTGAATGACCCTCCTGGGATTGCATGCTAAAGAGAGTGGAGACCAGGAGATAAGCTCCAGGGCACTCAGCGGCTCCGTCAGCCACTTCTAGTAATGCAGCTGGAATTGGGGGGATGTTTTAGATGACAACTTTCCTTCCTCTGCCCTGTAAGACACTTGTGTCTTCTATTACATTTCAGCTCTCTGGGGCCACACATGTTCCTGATATATCTCTCCTGCCTCTTTCATTGCTCTTCTATGTTTTGGCAAAGAGCGTGGAATTGGTAGAAGGGTTGGGACCTTGCAATGGGATAGAGTCCCCAAGGTTCCCCTTCTTGCTTCCTTCCTGAGCCTCATGTGTATATATCATTTCAGTATTTATTGCTAAGGGAGGGGGCTTAATTTTTTTAATGATTTAGTTTTTGAGCAATTTTTATTTTATTTTTATTTTAAAATTTAGGTCCTTCCCCTTCTTTGGGGCTGGAACAGAATTAAATTTGTTTGGAAAAAAAAATACTGTGTAGTTTGGCTTGTTTCATTCTCTCCAGGCTTGAATTCTTGGTTTTAGGATCACTTCAATCCATTAGAGCAATACCCTCCCCCACTTTTTTCTTTATACAAAATAGTTTATTTTTCTTTCAGTTAAAAGAAATCTGGCAATAGGCAGCTCAGGGCAAGAATGGCAGTTCCATGAAGTCCTTGTGAACCATCTTTCTTCCATTTCCCTATTCTGTCATCCTCAGGAGTGGTCCTTATCATGTCCAACATGACAGCACAACTGTTCTAACAGTGTTATTAGGCTGAAAGACGAGAGAGTTAGATGTTCAGTTCCTTTAGGTTCTAGTGATATATTTTATAATAGTTTTTCTTGATATCCTTGTGGGAAAATAGGGAAATATGAGGGAGGATTATTAACCAGCTTGAATGGTTACATCCAGAGAGTTCATTAATGGATACAGATTAATTTGGAAGACTTGTAGTGCTATGCCTCAGGTCTTTGTCCTTGCTCCTGGAATATCATTGATGACTCATTCAGTTTATGAAGAATGTAAAATATGGAGAAGTCCCTAGAGAATGGATGATAGAATAAATGTCAGTCTGTCTTAAGAAGTTGTAAGGGCTGAATCTAAAACAAAAATTTAAAGTCCATTCTTTTGGTCCAAAAAGGGCAATTTTCTAAGTTGTATCTTCAACATGATGTATGAAAAATTACTCAGAAATTTAGTGGATAAGATAAAGTCAGTAGGAGTAACTAGTATGATATAGTTGCAAAACACTTTTTTTTTTTAAGACTATACCAATGAGAATATACTATACTTTCTCTGCTAGACAGAAAGTGTTTTTAATACATTGTCTGGCAGACCACATGTGGAGCCTTGTATCCAGTTCTCATTGTTGATTGTGAGGTGTATAGTCCTGAAACAGTGATCAGGAACTTGAGGGAATGTAAAATATCTTGAGAAACGGTTGAATGATTGGGAAGGAGGAGGGTGGTAAGATGTGTATGTTAAAGTCAGTAGAGGAGATCCAATTGTTGTTTAGTTGCTAAGTTGTGTCCGACTCTTCTGTGATCCCATGGCCTGTAGCCGCTCTGCTCCAGGCAAGAATACTGGAGTGGGTTGCCATTTCGTTCTCCAGGGGATCTTCCTGACCCAAGGATTGAGCCCGTGTCTCCTACGTCTCCTGCATTGCAGGTGTATTCTTTACCTGGTGAGCCATCTGGGAAGAGAGGAGATCCAATAACTGCCCCTTTTATTCAAGTTCTGAGACAAGGTGGCATATCTGTGTTGGGCCAGACAATAGAAAGATGGCCAGTAGGTGATAGAAGTGGAACTTAAAAGATTTAACGACGAAATAAATGTACAGTTGAGTATACAAAATATATATGTACAGTTTAAAGAGTAATTAGAAATGTCCACTCATGATCTCATCTTGTTTTTACAGATAAATATCTCATTGTTTGATTATGCCACAATGTATTCATTCTATTGTTAAAGGATATTGGATTTCTTTCTTTTTTTTTTTTTGCTATTAAGGCAGTACATTATTAGTATTCTTTATGTGTCCTGATGAGTAAGTACAGGAATTTCTTTTATAGCAATGGTTCTCAAAGAGTTCTGATGCATACCAATATGTGAAAACCATTGTTTCAGAGTACTGGCACAAGGGTAGAATTGCTGGATCATGGAGTTACATGTACTCAGCTTTTTTTGAGAAATATCAAATGTTTTCAAAGTAGTTATACCAGTTTATATCTCTGCTGGCAGTGGATGAATGTTCCTAATGAGTCTTCTGCATCCCCATTTCTGTTTGGTTCCCTCATTATGTTTTAGGCTTCACAAATATAGGAAATTTGAATATTTCCCTGTGGCCTTAATATGCATTTCTCTCACTATTAATGGCTTTGAGCATCCTTTCATATACTTTTTCATGGTAAAATGCCTATTTGTGTCTTTGCCCACTTGTACATTGGATTTCAAATTGATTTGTAGGATTTACTTATCTCCTGTACTGATCTCTTGTCATTTTATGTGCTGCAAACACCTAAGAGTTTTTAGCTTGTTTTTAACTCTATATTGGATCTTTTGTTGAACAGAATTCTTAATTTCTGCATTATTGAACTTATTAATATATTCTTTTATGATTAGCACTGTTTGTATTTTAATAAGTCCTTGCCTATCCTGAAGTCATCAAAACATTTCCTCTCTATTAGTTTTTATGAATTTTTATCATTTTGTCCCTTTCTTTTTATTATGATCTTTCCTTATGTTGTGATGTAAGTATATAATTTTTTTCCCAATGAGTAATTGATTGGTCCAACACCTTTTATTAAAGATCAGTCCTTTACCCACTGATCTTTAAAGCCCAGTCTGTCTTAAATTTTCATATATAGTATGTAGGTCTGTTTCTGAGCTTTCTCTTTCTGATCTTTTCTGATCTATTTCTTTATTTCTATACCAGTACCATATTGTGTTATGGTATAGAACATGTACCATAAAACACATACCATACCATAAAAGTCAGTATCCAATCAGAGTAACAGTGAGCCATGTTGTCCTTAACCAATGAGCCCATTTATATTTTAGGATCTAAATTTTCATGAAAAATTCCTCTGGGGGATTGCATTGAATTTATAGATCAATTTAGGAAGAATAGACATGTTTATAACAACTGAATCTTCTTTTCCATGATTGTCTTCATTTATTTAAGTCTTCTTCACTGTCTTTCGATATAATTGTATACTTTCTCCAGGAAAGCCCTATATATCTTTTATTAGAATTTTTTCCCTAGACACTTCATAGTTTTTTATGCTATTATGAATGGTATAATTTGTAAAATGACATTTTCTAACTGTACTTGAGAAGGGATGTAAAATTGACTATTATATATATATATATTTTGTGGCTGTGGCTTTTTAGAACTCTCTAATAATGTGTTGGTTCCTTTGGTTTCCTGTAAATAACAACTGTTTTGCGTCTTCCTTTTCAGCCCCTTTACTTTTTATTTTGTTCTGTTTTCTGCAGTAGTTAGGATCTCTAATATGTTGAATACAAGTGATGATTGCAAGCAGTCCTATACTTAACGGGAATATTTTCAAAATTTCAATATTAAATGTTTGTTATATGGTTTTTATATATACTTGATCTTAGATTTCGAGCCTATTTGAGTTTTTATCATGAAAAGGTATTATATTTTTATTACTGTTATTTGGTTGCTAAGTTGTGTCTGACTGCAACCCCATGGACTGCAGCATGCACAGATTATATTTTATCTAATGCTTTTTCTGCATTTATTGAGATAGCAGATGATTTTTTTTTTCTTTTAATCCCTTAGTGTGGTGGATTAGCATTCTCTGCTTTTGATTAATAAACCGAACTTGCCTTTTTGGTACAAACCTTTGTTGGTAAGATATATATATATATATTTTTAACATTGCTGGATTCACATGGGTAACATTTAGGGTCACAAGTGCTATTAGTTTATAAGTATACTATTTCTTAATCTGTTATAGTTTAGTTTTGGTATGAAAGTTATGCTAGTCTCATGTAATGAATAAACAGTATTTCTCCTATATGTGAGAAGTTTATGTAAAATCAGTTTGTCTTTTTCTTTGTAGCACTTGCCTGTAAAGACATCAGCACCTGGCATTTTCTTTATAGAAAGACTAACTTCTGATTTAACTTATTTAATGTTTTTTTGAATTATTCAGGCTTTCTCTTGATTTAGTCTTGATATTTTGTATTTTTTAGTTGTTTATTTTATTTAAGTCTCCAAATCTACTCTCCTAAATGTTTGTAATATATTCCTTATTTGTTCATTCTCCATGGTATCTGTCATTTTGTTTCCTTTTTCTCTACTGGTATTGTTTATTTGTAACTTATTTCTCCTTCAGCCTTTTGTCTCTTACAGGTCTTCAAAGAACTTGACTTTGTTTTTTGTCATTTTTTTGTATATTTTTTCTGTTAGTTTTTATTTTTATCTTCATAATATCCTTTTTTCTCCTGTTATAAGAGTGCCTATTCATGAGCTGATATATAGTTTTTATATTCAGCAGGCAACATGACATTTCGTTGTTTTAAATTTGCATTCTTTTATTTGTGATGTTGAGGATCTTTTAATAAAATACTTGTTAGCTACTTATAAGTTTGATGTAAAATGCAAAAGAGAGCATCCAAGACTGAAGAAAATGTATTAAAAAATTTGAGGGAGATATGTTTAGGAAATGATATAGCACTTGGTACAATCTATAATTATATGGCACATATTATATTATGATTTCTTGATTATATGATTTGAACTCTTAAAAGGAAAGCCACTAACTTACACTTACCTTTAAGTTCTAGACATTACTATATACATCTCTGAGTGTTGGACATTGCCTGACTCATTAACAAATGGCTGGCTGACTGGACAGACAGTGGATTAGGCAAATAAGATTAATATTGAGGGTGTTAACACCTTGTATGCTGAATAATAATGATGTTGAAACTATTCTTTTGGCTTGAAGAGCCTTTGAAACAGGGCTCCT